ATAATAATATATAATATTATATATATCGATGATATATATTAATGTATAAAAATAATAAATGTAATAATAATAATAATAATAATAATAATAAATATTGTCAGTGATTTACATTTCGAGAATACATTCCCGTAGACAAATGAGTTGGTACGCTGTGAGTGTGCGTGCAAGTCCAAATACATCACTAGCTTGATGTGCTGAAAATGACTGATTCTGAGGTATTTCGGGTAAGTTTTCAGGCAAAATTTGGACTGTTTTTCCAGTTTTTGGGTAAGATTTGTCATTTTAGAATATTTTCGAGTGAAATTTTTGGTAGTTTCTCGAATTGTTTGGTAGAATTTTGGTAATTTTTGAGCTTTTTAGTTAAAATGCAGGTGAATTTTGAAAACTTTTTGGGTAAAATTCAGACGATTTTTCAAAATTTCGGGTAAATTACGGGTAATATCAGACCGAGTTGGCGTTGTATCTAAGCAATAAGTTCTTGACAGCGTATAGAGTGGGTTGAGCCCACGCTGAGGGCGCCAGCCAATGTCGATTCAAGTCCGCACCGAGCAGTGAGCATCTGCAAATGAGGCGCTCTAGTGATGACCCTATAACTTTTAATGCAAGCAAAGTTTTCCAATCGATCGATTTTATGTCGGATGCCCACCATCCGGAGAAGATACCCACCCGAACGGGTAAAAGATGCCCGCCCAACTAGTTGCCCATGATGGCTTAAAACTTGATCATTCTCCCGTCACCCCGTTCCCCCCGCCCCCGCACCCACTCCTTCCCGTATTTACCTGTAGTTGCCCAAGAAAACACCGTCCGGATTCAGCATTGGGATCACTTTAAACACGTATTCGGATCGAAGTCGTTTTGCACGTTCATCGTCACTGATCAAAAATTCAATTATACCTGAAAAATTTTGCAAAATTGAAATTTTTGAAAAAAAATTTCAAATTTAATTTCAGGTGAATTTTTCAAAAAAAAATTCCCGAAAAAAAGGTCTTTTGCACCTTTACAAACGAAACTAGACGGACTCTCGCCGGGATGTATTCGAGCCGTAANTAGGAGTTACCCAAGTAATTGCTTGCCCACAATGGTGGGTAGCTCATGAGCTCAATTCCGAGCGGCGGCGGCGGCGGCGATGAAATTTTTGACAATTTCCACGGACAGCTTACCACGGATACGGCGAGCATGTCCACAATGGCTCAGTGGGTGGCCCATTTGAGCAGTGATTAGCGGATACCCACCCGAGTGGGTAGGAGTTACCCAAGTAATTGCTTGCCCACAATGGTGGGCAGCTCATGAGCTCAATTCCGAGCGGCGGCGACGAAATTTTTGACATTTTCCACCAATAGCTTACCATGGATAGGGCGAGCGTGTCCACCACAATGGCTCAGTGGGTGGCCCATTTGAGCAGTGATCAGCGGATACCCACCCGAATAGGTAGGAGTTACCCAAGTAATTGCTTGCCCACAATGGTGGGTAGCTCATGAGCTCAAATCCGGGCGGCGGCGGCGACGAAATTTTTGACAATTTCCACGGACAGCTTACCACGGATAGGGCGAGCGTGTCGCGTGC